AATACCTGGACGCGTCCCGACCAACGTATGCCGCGCACGACGCCATATCGCCTTGTCCCAGGGCCAGTGCGCTACTTGCGGCGCGCAACTCCTGCTCAAGTACGCGCACCGTACCATGTGCTGCCGCTATGCGTGTCTTAAGGCGGCTGCGGCGAAGCGGCGGGCGCGGCATGCCGATGGCAGTGCGGACGATGCGGTTGCGATGTGTTCTGCTTCAAGATCGTGGCGGTGCTTGGCATGCACTTCTGCGATCCCAATCAGCTCATCGCAACGAAGCAGCGCAACAAGCTGGCTGCTGCCAACAAGGCCCTATGCTAGATCTACCTCACGCGCGGATCGTTCAAAGAGGACCAGCATACACAGGCTTCCTTGACATGCGTTTGTTTGAGCTTGAGGCTATTTGTGAGAACTGTTTGGCTTGAAGATTGCGCTCAAGAAGAGCAACGAGAATCGGAAGAGGAGGATGCTGAGGCGGCGATTGCTGAGCATGAGAAGGATCGATCCGGATTAGAAGGCGCCCGCCGCAGGCGAAGAAAATTTGGGGGCTAGCGCCGTATCGTTGATCACGGTGGGAGCCTCTTGGCCCCAGGCTGTGCCACGGCCGACTTAGCCGATGTAAGAGGCTCTCGCTGATCTTAGACCGCGTAAGCACCCCAGCGTGACTAGTCACACTTAGACCCGCTCAGCCTCGAGGCTCAGAACTTAGACTACTACCCAACCAGTCGCGTGCCTCCCTTGGGTGTAGTCGGGTGACCTGTCGACGACTTGATCAGGTACTCGAGCACCATGCCCCATGATGGCACCATGGGCACCTTGCGCACCACACCGTCCTCCCCCTCCACCTCCTGCCATGCAAGGGACGTGAGGGGAATCACATGTCCGTGCCTCCCAGGGCTGCAGCTTGCCCACAGGCACGCCCACCTTCATCACCAGCTTGAGCTCGTAATACCCTCCCTGCTCCTCGTTGCTCACCCACTCGACGTCCCAACCTTGCGTTCGCGATAGTCTGCCGTCCGCGCCTGAACGCCGTGTTGGTTGAAGTTCTTGTCGGTATACTGTTGCATGTCCATCTCCCACAGGAGATCGCCCGTCACATCCGGAGGGTAGTTCGCGCGATCAGGGCAAGCATCAAAGTCAGCGCCTCCACAAGGGCCCACTCCGCGCTTTACCACAGTCCGTACAAACCGCCTCTCCGCCAGAGAGGTCCGCCGCTGCTCATCAACATCGAGGCCCGAGGACGCAGGCTGTTTGCCATGAAGCCGCACGCGGCCGCGCACCACCCGCTGCACCCCGTACTCCTCTGCCTCCTCATCTGAATCAGGCAAGCGTTCCTCGGGGTCGTACTCGCCATCCTCCTCCTCTGGGGCGGCCGGGTCCCCATCTGCTCGCCCCGCATCATGCACCTTATCTAGCACCTTCGCTCGCGCCGCCTCGCCGCGCCGCTCGAGAATGCTCGCAGCTGCCGACCCGATCTGCTGACCGGCGCCGGCATCTGGCTCGCACGATCTGCGCCCTCCACCGGAATTCGTATGCAGCATAGGCACCGGGTCTGGCAGCACCGGCTCAACGCCGCGCCCCGCGGTCGGTGCAAGCAGGGAATGTTCCCGCTGCTGCTCTGCTGCAGCCTCGAGTCGCGGTGCGGCCTCCGCACTCTCGGCGTTCGCCTCTCGCCCCGCTGCAGCATCCGTTCCCATCTCTGGCTGCCGTTCGCCGAGCGCCTCCTCAAAGCATGCGAGAATCTCGTCACTCTGAAGGTCAGTCTCGAGCACGTCGTCAGCAGCGCGGATGCTCGCCCGCAGGGCCGCCGTCCGTCGGTCGAGGTCTCGTTTGTTCTGGCAGCGTCGGCGCCGGCCTGCTCCCGCGCTGGCCACGCATCATGCTGCGCTTCGTGAGCAATCGCGTAACGGGAGGCTCGCTGGCTTTTTGTGGCTTTTTGGACGGCTTTTTTGGATTCTCCCGCCCTCCCACTCCTCTCTTGGATTTTTTTTGCTATTTGTTCGTGTGGGGGTACATTGCAGATTTGTCAATGGTGCCGCGTCGGCGACGCGGGCCCTTGCGAGCAGAGCCCTCACATGTTGTTGTTGTGCATGCACAACAACAACAACAACAACATGTACATGTACATGTGTGCACGTTGTAGGCCACCCTTTGTATCTTGCGCGGTCAAAATGTGCCTCTTTTTGCAATCCTTGCACACCTCTGTCAAGAGTCTTCCCCAGAAACCGCGAGGAGTCACACAGTCCACCTGTGTGATGCACGCCCTGCGAGCGGGGCGGGGTGCGCACTGTGCCTCTGTGTTCGTGCGTCTGCTCTTTGTGAGCGCAGCCGCTCACAGTCCTACAAGATGTATGTTAGGATTGCGAGCGCTGCTGCTCGCAATCGGAGGCATGTTGCTAGGATTGTGAGCTCAAGCTGCTGCTCGCAACCCTAGACGTTGCTCGGATTGTGAGCGCGCTGGTAGTAGTCGTAGGCGTCACCAGTCACCTTGGGAGCGGAGCTGCTCTTGGGCCTACAAGAAGATGTAGGATTGCGAGCGTAGGTGCTCACATAAATCGCACAGAGGTGCTACGATTGCGAGGAGTGCTGCTCATAATCCTTCGACTTCTAGGATTGAGAGCGAGGCTGCTCTCAATCCTAGCCAAGTACAAAAGAAGGTTCACCTCATCTCCCCAAGAGCCGCGCAATCCTCTCACAGTACACAGAAAGGATAGCAGGATACCCCTGCCATCGGTGATCTCTTTTTCTCTTGCGACCAAACCTGTCTAACTACTACCTTACCTTACAATACACATGGTCATGGAGAAACGTCACAGTTGCAGTCTCAGGTATACAGTAAGTATTCGTCATCAGCGGCCTGGTGCCGCGGCAGAGCGTAGCTGCAACATCGCCATTCCCGTGCGTGCAGTCACGCGGAGCCGCCGCTGCGGTGAGCTCTTGGGCGGTGGCGGCACATGCTTGGAGGCTCTGCCCTCCACCGTGCCGTCCTCGTCCTCGTACGTAAAGTCGGGGACCACGAGCACGGTGCCGTCCGAAAGCGCCGATCCAGCGCCCCCGTGGCGCGCGCCTGGCGTGGCCAGCTCGTTGAAGAGGACGACGGAGCGCGCCTTCTGCAAGCCGCGCCGCATTGCCACGCCCACCGACGGCTCGCTCACCTCCTGCGCCTTCTCATCCGCCTCGTCGCCAGGCACGGCGAGAGTTTTGAAAGTAAAGCCGCGCCGGTGCGACAGTCCCGCCGGGGGTGCCGCCCCGTGCGTATCCGGCTCAGCAGCAAACTTGACGCGGCTAGGGGTTTTCTGCACCGCCTCCGGCGCCGGATGCGTGCCCGCAGGTTGGGCCTCCGTGCCTGGCTCCTCCTGTCGCTCCGCCGTCGACGTCGGTCTGGAGGCGGTGGACCCACGCAGGGCACGCCGCGCGGTTCGCGCCCACTGATTCAGATCCTGGGTGCGCGCGTGCATCAACGGTCGCGCCTCCGACCCCGACCGCTTCGCTTGGAGCATCGCGATGATCTTGGCGCTCTCGATGCGCGCGGACTTTGCGAGGTCGTCAGCCTCCTGCTCCTCGACGTCGCCAAGCTCGGCGCGCATGAGATCGCGCCGCCATCCGTCCAATCGGTAGTTTTTCGTCTTCAGCATCTGAACGCGGTAGCAGGTGTTGTTGGCGTCGGATCGCTTCTGCGGAGACGGCTCCCCCGAGCTGCAGCGGCGCGCCCCAATGACGGACTCCTCGTCGTCCATGGCAGCCGTCGTCTCTGGACTCGCCGGAGTTAGCGGGACGACTCGCGACCCACGCGCTGGCCTGCTGCTCTCGGCGCTCCATCGGCTAGACCACGAGGCCGCGTCGGCGCTCCCTCCGAGGGCCGGCTGCTGCGCTGGGGGGCGTCCCCAGCGCCGTGCCCTTGCGCCGCGGTCCTTGCCTGCACGCCGCATGAGGTCCACCTTGACGGTGTCCCTCGCCACCGCCGACCACGACCGGCCCGAGCCGCCCGAGCCTCTACTCGAGGCCTCGCTCCCCGCCTTGCCGTTCTCGGAGGAGAAGCGCATGAAGGCATTGGTTGCAAGGGCGAGCAGAACGGGGTAGAGGATGATCTGGTACACGTAATAGACCACGATGAAGTAGATGTGGGCGCTAATGCTGCGCGTCCGGCCCGCCTCGCCGCACACCGCCTCGCCCGTCGCAAACATCACTTTGTGCCAATCATTTGTGATGAGGATCTGCACGTTGGTGAGCATCGCGAGGTGGAAGCCAGCAAAGTACGACCTCGTTTCTTTGTTGTACGCGTTGTAGTAGATGTTCGAGTCATTTCGCACGCCACTGTCAAGCCACGCCTCCTGGGACACGCTGCAGGCTGCAAAGGCCTCCATGCCGATAACGGCAAAGAAGGACATGCAGAGCACAATCAGCACGGTGAGGGAGAAGATGATAGGCATGATTCGGAGCAGGAGTGGCAGTGCGCGATGAAAGAAGGGGAGGATGTAGAGCAGCCTCAGCGTAATGATTAGCTCGGGGAGGAAGGCCCAAAGCTCGGGCGGCAAGACGCGTGCGAACATGAGCGCGTAGAGCACGAGGGCAACGCAGTAAAACAGCAGGTCCGTAGTACTTTTTTAAGGTGCTCTACAACCTAGGCACAAAAGATATGGCATTGCAGGCCATTTAGGGCCCCTTAGACGATCACTGAGTAGGCCGAAATCCCCACTGGGCCGGGAGCAACCTTAATCCAGGTCCAGCCCTTTTCCTGGCTCACAAGCTAAAGATGTTCACGGGCCCCCATACACGGGAGCATGGGGAGCCCCGGGTCTCTTTAGCTTTACTCGTCTAAGCAGGGGTTGAACTTCATCGAGGATTTGCTTTCGATTAGGTAACCAAGACTCACACAAGAGAGAGGAGAGCGAGAGTCGCAAGACTACCTTATTCCAATGCTCGCACTCTATACGCACTCTCTGTGTTGTAAATTCTTTCGGTGGTCTGTAAATTCGGTGGTGTTCGGTGGTGGGCCGCAGACGATGCTGCTGCTGCTCACGCACAACCTTCCCCTGCTGCATCCGGATTCTGTTCGGCACGCACGTGCTGCCTCCGTTCGTGCCGGATCGCCACGAGCAGCCGCCAGACCTGGGCCTGCCGACGAGGAAGCGAGGAGTGCACGAGCGACGCAGGCCGGTGAGGTAGGATATGGCGACTCTGCCCTCCTCGACGCGCAGCAGGCCGCGTTTGCCCAGTTCTGGGAGGAGGCGAGCCAGGCAGCGGAGCCGGCGGGGGTTGCGGATGCAAAAGACGAGGCGGTGGCAGATGAGGCGGTCGAGGCTGATGAGGCGGTCGAGTCGCTGCTCCGCCGGCTGGGCAACGCGAGCAGCGACGGCAACCGCGGCGTCGGCGCCGCGGAGGCGGCCGCTCTGCGCGAGGCTCTCGCCCCATGCCTGGCGCGGCTTGCCCAGCAGCCCACCTCGCCGACGGCTTTGTCCTTGCATCGTTGTCAGGTGCTGGCCTCCCGCCCGACGGGCGGCGCCACGGGCGCCACCCCAACTGATACGCAGCCGGGTCCGACTCGCGCTTTAGTTTCAACCCCCCCCCCTCAAGCCAGGACTCCTGCTTTCATGAAACCCAATGTACTAACTCTCCTTTCATCCCCCCGCCACCCATATACTTTCTCCCTATT